TGTGTTTTAATCTTTGTTATATATCATGTGAGTGTGTGTCTATATTATACTCGGTGTTTACATAGTAAAGACATGTATAAACTCATAAGATGGCGTGCATTTTACGTTACACAGCCGTTTTATTTTTAAAAACATGTGAACACGTGGATTCGGGAGGCAAAATTGATATCACATATTTACAGGGGCCCAACTGGAAAATGCGCCTCCCGTTAGACCCCCATTAAAGCAACGTCCCAACGTAACGGCACCGACTAACTTCGGCTTCGCATTCCCACACCAACACCTCACCGCCCGACGTCGCCATGGCCACCACGTCTCGCTCCGGCCGCCACGGCTCCGACGACGAGGAAGACTCTACGCCGGCGATGCGCCGCCTCCGACGCCTCTCCCTCCACCTCCTGCAGCCCGCTCCCGAGGGGGGCGACTCTCTGGTCCCCGCCGCGTGCGCGGGCAAGCGGCGGGCGGGGGGCCTGGACGCGGACGCGGCCGCGCTCACGGCGTACCTCCGGGGGCGGCACCGCGCGATGCAGGCGCGGGTGTACGAGTTCTACGTCGCGCGGCCGGAGCTGCAGACGCCCGTGGAGCTGCCCATGGCCGCCCACCGCGACCTCTGCTTCCGGCAGATGGCGGCGCTCGTCCGGGAGGCCGGGGTGCGGCCGCTCAGCCTCATGGCCGCCGACCCCGCCGAGTACTTCGCCGTCATGGAGGCCGTCGGCGGGGTCGACATCTCCCTCGCCATCAAGGTCGGCGTGCAGTACAGGTTGGTTCGCTTCTTCTTCTCTTTTTACCGCGCGTTGTAGTTAATTACTGGTAAATCAGTATTTCCCTCCCAAACAAACTGGTAAAGAACACAGCTTGATATCTGAATCGCTTCCATACGCTTCACATGGGGATTGTTAGCTGGTGGTCAACGAGAGGGCTTACATAATTACTTGATGGGTGTGGGATAGAGTGTACAACTTTCCCTTGCTTGATGTGATGCTTCGAGGGGAACTGCGAGCTACATCCATGTATCAATTGGTAATTTGACTGTCGGTATCATCAGTAACTAAAATCGTTTTGTTTTACTCTTTTGAATGTTAGTAACACACCTCACCAGTCATCATACTGATCTCTGACCGTACTGAGATGATCGCATTCGCGAGGATTCTAGCATGTTAGCATCGTTAATGTGATCTGTGAGTGTGGGGCTTGGATCCGTTGGTAGCTTAACTGAAACCTAATTCATGTACGGCTAGCTTGCAATTGCACTCCTTATTGAGGCAAGTACTTGTGACTTATGAGTGACAGTGACTCTGAAAACAGAGGCAAGTACTTTTCGCTGCAATAGTGTGGACCTGATTGATTGTTACGATGAAAGAAGCGGCATTAGCTCTTGACTACGATGGTTGGTTGCGACGCAACTTCGGTTATGGTTATGTTGGGATTCATTTGATTGCCTAAAGCTACAGGGATGCTTGCGTGCACAACTTCTATTGTGAAATGTCAAGCGTTTTGTGTCCCCATTTTTTGTAGTCACGATAATTTTGTTTCGGGTTTTGGGGTTATTTAGGATATACATGCATGTGGAGTTTGGTTGGTGGTTCATTTCATACAACCTCAAACACTGCAACTTTGTGATTCTGGAATTTCCCACTTTTTAGTAAGATGGGAGTTTGGTTGGTGGAGTTTTCCTTGTCTGTCCACTGTTATATATCCACTAACTTGTCTGCTTGTTAACGCAGTCTTTGGGGGGGTTCTGTAATAAATTTGGGAACCAAGAAGCACAAAGAAAAGTACTTCGACAAAATCGACAATTTGGAGTATCCAGGCTGTTTTGCTATGACAGAACTGCATCATGGTTAGATTATCTATTTAATTGTTTCATCAGTATTTCTGACTTCCTGTTTGGTATTTTGATTGATTTGCGGTTTAACTGTCTGTTGGGACTTGTACCCACCACCTAAAACACTGTTTACAATAGTTTGAAAAGATCCTTTTTCATTTCTGTTTGTTGCTTTTCGACAGGATCCAATGTTCAAGCCCTACAGACCACTGCTACATTTGATCCAGTTACTGATGAGTTCATTATTGATACCCCAAATGATGGAGCCATTAAGTGGTGGATTGGCAATGCAGCTCTTCATGGAAAATTTGCTACTGTTTTTGCGAGGTTAATTTTACCACTTCAGGGAAAAGCAGGGGAGCCTGCTGACATGGGAATTCATGCATTTATTGTCCCGATTCGGGACCTTGAAACCCATGCTGTTCTTCCAGGAATCGAGATCAATGATTGTGGGCACAAGATAGGCCTAAATGGTGTAGATAATGGTGCCCTGAGATTCTGTTCAGTTAGGATACCCCGTGACAACCTTCTGAACCGATTCGGCGATGTGGCGCGAGATGGAAAATACACAAGCAGTCTCCCCACGATTAACAGAAGATTTGCAGCAACCCTTGGTGAGCTTGTTGGGGGGCGAGTTGGTCTTGCATATAGCTCTGTGGGAGTACTCAAAGTTGCAGTAACCATTGCTGTTAGATATGCTTTACTGCGTCAACAGTTTGGTCCACCTAAGGAGCCTGAAATCAGTGTGCTGGATTACCAGTCTCACCAACACAAACTAATGCCTATGTTGGCATCAGCGTATGCATTTCATTTTGCTAGAGCGTATTTGGTAGATATGTACTCGGAAATGAAGAAAACCAATGACGAGGATGTTACCGCTGATGTCCATGTACTTTCATCTGGGTTGAAATCCTACATAACTTCATACACAGCAAAATCTATCAGCATATGCCGAGAATCGTGTGGTGGCCATGGGTATGCTGCTGTAAATCGTTTTGGTGGTCTGCGGAATGACCACGATATATTTCAAACATTCGAAGGAGACAACACAGTTCTGCTGCAGCAGGTACCAATCGGAATCCTCTACAAAGCTCATTACGTAATATTTGATGGGCAGGTTCTTTGATAGGTTTTTTTTTGCGGGGACAGGTTCTATGATTGTTGAAAGGGTAATACTGTATATCTTAGGAAAACACACGTAATTGCATATTGTGAATAGAAGTTTGGGTGAATAATTTCATGTGATATGAAGTTACTTATACCTCAAATATTGTACCTCTTATCACGATGCTATGTATTGTAGGTTGCTGGAGATCTCCTGAAGCAATATCAACAAAAATTCAAGGGAGGAACACTCTCGGTCACCTGGAACTACTTGAGAGACTCCATGAACACCTACTTGTCTCAGCCTAATCCCGTTACTGCTCGGTGGGAAGGGGAAGATCATCTCAGGGATCCTAAATTTCAGCTGGATGCATTCAGAGTGAGTCCTGTCTTCGTTATTTATAATATCAGTAGCTATTGGATAGAAGTCTTGTACTGATTGCGTATATAAACTCTCTTCTCAGTACCGAACATCTAGACTACTGCATAGTGTTGCTGCTCGACTCCAGAAGCACATGAAGACACTCGGAGGTTTCGGTGCGTGGAACAGATGTTTAAACCATCTGCTCACACTCGCAGAGTCACACATTGAGTCTGTCATCCTCGCGAGGTTTATAGAAGCAGTGAAGAGGTATCGTTTTTGTGCCGTTACCTGACCTCAGTTACATTGTTCTTACCACCATTGCTTACTAGCTAGTTAGCTGCACATATTAGTTTAGAAATAATATTTTGTTGAATAGTTACTACGAATATTTGTTTGCTTGAGACTTGCTATCGGTGAAAGCACTGGAATATCCTCCTGTCGCCCTGACTGCATTTTTCAACCCGTCGATCATGATTATTTGTGCTTGAGTTGTAGAATGATCCCTTGAAAAATCCTTCTGCTGCCCTTTGTATATTGTTATAGTTCTCTTGCTGGCACCCTTGACTTCTGCCACTGAGCACTCCTTTCAGTGTTTGAGCCATTATCCTCATTCTGTTGTTTAGCTGAACCATGATGCAAATTAAAGTTAAATTACCAAAGCCTACTCACAATTAAGATGTTGTGCGTAACCCTTTTCACTTTATCCGGTGAAGTTAAAGCAACAACAATGACTTATGATTTGTCTATGCAGTTGCCCCGACGAAAAAACACGAGAAGTACTGAAGCTGGTGTGTGACCTTTATGCACTTGAAAGGATCTGGAAAGACATCGGGACATATCGGAATGTAGACTATGTGGCGCCAAACAAAGCTAAGGTTTGTACTGCTTGTCAACCCCATGGCACACAATTGCAATTTCAGTTCTTACCTTCAGACCAGAACCAGAACCAGGACCTGATGCTATGCTCCTCTGTATTCTTGCAGGCTATCCATAAACTGGTAGACTACCTCAGTTACCAGGTGAGGCTTGTGGCTCGGGAACTTGTCGACGCCTTCGATGTCCCAGATCAAATCATCCGCGCCCCAATCGGCATGCAATCGGATGCCTATGCTCAGTATACACAGGGTGTCGGCTTCTACAGACAACCAACATAGACCTACCATTCTGCTGCAAGCTCAGACCGTTAGGCAAGAAGCTATATAGACAAACTTATATCATATACCCAACAGAGTGAGTCAAAATCAAGTGTACAATAAGTTTTATCCCAAAAAAGTGTATAACAAAAATGAGATGTGTATAAGTGATAATATTGTGAATAAATTTTGTCAGACTTTGTTTTGGCAGCATGGCTGTGAATAAAGCTCATATGTGAGAAATTCTGTAGCTACAATGTCTGATTAATTATCTCTCTTCGGTCACGTGACAAGACTTGATGTCACAAGGGAAATGCCAGAGATGAATAAGGAAGCTGAAATGCCTAACACTGATGCATAATTGCAGCACTAATACTTAGTCATACATATGTATTGTACTCCGGTAACTGGTGTAAAACTGGAGTTACTGACAGATCACTAATACATCCAGCTTCCAGTTCTCTTGTTCGATACAATACGGCACACATAAATCATAAGGAACTTCCGAGAGCTAGAGTACAAAAGAGACAAAATTATAATGTTACAAAAGACAGGATCATATCACTTCATCTTTTCAATCTGAATCCGAATCGTAAGCAGTGGAAGATCTAACCCTCCTATCCTTTGACATGTCAGTCTCATCATCTTCGTCATCATCGTCTTTCTTCTTTTCCTCAATTATACCTATATTTGCAGGGTGTTAATATATTTGTTATTTCGAATTGTGAAGGAATGCTGCATGAAGAAGTTAACAGTATCTCTACCTTTCCTCTTCAGTACATTTTCCAAAGCCCTGGTAGAAAAATCATCTTTACTTCCAAGGTCATCGAAACCAACCAACCGATCAAGAGCAATACCCTTCCTAAAATACAAAAGTACCGCAAAAACACTTAATTAGAATGACCCTCGATTAAATTTGACATGATGGCGTATAGGAATAAAGAGTACAAAACAAGTTAGAAGGCTCATTATCTAATGATGGAATAGGTAGAATCCATGAACAATGTATGCACTTACTTGAACAATATAACACATGGCAACGTTTTGATTGCTAGTTTTGCCACAAAGAAGGGAGCATTCTGCAGTAGTTATCAACAAATCAGCATCCATCGATGTAGTAAAAGCAGAAGTAACTTAAAACTAACAGCGATATACGAACTTCGGCATCAAGCTTGACGAATTTAGTTCCCAAATAGACCGGTGCAAGTGCCTTCAAATGCTTATCCATGATCCTACCAAAGATTTATATCATTATCAAGTGTGAGACGCAGATCAGCACCTTACTAAATCATCACGGGCAAGAGGCATTATATACATAAAAAGGACTTATGGCTTACTTGCAGCGGTAAAATTCACGATGGTAGAAATGACAGATGACCTTGTCACCACGAGTGACCTCTCCTAAGAAGTCCCCTTCGGTTATTTCCCTGTATTCACCATGACCTTGCCTCTTTAGCACCTCACGCTTCTCGACCTCTCTCTGTTGCATAGAGAAAAATGAGGTACTTAATGGATGATGTGGCACTTATACAAGCTTCTCAAGCGTGAGATGCAGATCAGTACCTTAAGAGCAGCAAGCCGTTCAGCATGCAATTTCTCAAGCTCTGGGTCCTACAAAGCAGTTCTGTAATGTAATGGCGTCGCGACAGATACCAAAGTTCTTGGTGCTCTACACTAAAGATATACGGAAGACGGTAAGCGATGGTTAGAAGTTCAACTCACATCCAGTAACTCATCAAGATCGACTTCATCATGGATCGCAGGTGCTGCTTGAGCCTTCTCTTTAGCTATAACTTCCTAAAATGGTGTCTGTGTCAGTATCGCAAAAGGAAAAAAGATGAAACAAAGAGTAGTGTTATTCTGGCTCCTCCAGTAGATTTGGTAAAAAAATTGCACAGGTTCAGAGCCATCCAAGATAGAGGCCACCAGCTTACAGCATGGTGAAACTCATGAAAAATAACTACATTTGAGAATCAAAAGCAGCCCTTTATCCCCATTATGCAAAGAAACAGAAAACATTAGTACTGCATGATTCCCAAGCATTATACTAGATGTAACCATTTTGCTAGATTCCCGGAGCAGGGCTGTCCACTTCCACACGAGCTAACATGACCCACTCGCCGAATCTTAGGCTCTCAACAGCGCCCGCCGTTTGATTCCGAAGGCCAAGAAATGCAAGCAGACGAAGGAACTTGTCCCAAGATCCAGGGGGGTGGGCACCGGGCACGGCTCGGCCGTCGCTGGATCCTCGGCCGCTCCGACGGCCCGATCGCCGGATCAGACGAGAGGTGGGGTAACGGCGACGCGCAAGGCGCGGAATCTCAGATTGGGGAGAGGTAGGGGACGTCGGGGGCGAGGGAGAGTCACCTTCTTGTAGTCGCGGGCGGCGGCGGCCAGGACGTTGCCGAAGGCCAGGCCTTGGAGCTTCGACTTCACCTCGTCCGGATCCATCTCTCCTGCTCGCGCGGGTTCGCCGCTTCGGCTCGAGCTCGCCGGAGATTTGCTCCGGTTCGGTGCAGGTGGCGATTGTGGTGTTGTGTTTTTCTTTTTTCGAGTAAAGATTGCGGTGGTGTTGTGTTGTAGCGCCGCCGCCGCAGCAGCAACAGATTTACTTTCCTCTGCGAAACTCGGCCCATCAGGCCTACTACCAAGGGCATCTCGGACCCGCAAACCGCGCCCGCATCTGTACGGGCCGCAGTTGTCTAAAAATAATAATAATCTGTTCGGGCCGCGGAAGCCGTGGGTCTATATCGATCTGTGTCGCAATCCGGATACGATTTCTCTTGTAAATTGAAGATAAAGTGGGGAAGTCCGGAGAGGGAGTCCACATTCAAAACATAGGACTCCAACACCACCGGCCCAGCCAATCTCCCCTCCCGGTCCCATTTCGTTCCACTTCCTCCTTTTCTCCTTACGTTGCATCCGCACCCTCCACCTCTGTTGCCGCTGTTGTACGTCTCCGGCCGCCATAGAGGTATTGCCAGACATCCGCAACCAGCACCGACGTGCCCGCTCGCCGTTACGACAGAGCTTTCCACCCTAGAGCCATTTGTACCCAGATATACTCCGCCACCTGTCGCCGATCTCCATGGCGGACTCCACGCCCGGCAGGTGTTCGATCAAATGCCATTGAGCTTTTTTTTCAAATGATATGTCGTTTTTTAGAGTTCGAAGAATTGTGAGCTACTCGATCATGAAGGATGAGTTGTTGTGCGATTCGTGGCTGGCCGTATCCGCGGATTTCGTAGGCAAGAGCAGAGGGAGCCCTTTTGGGAGCAAGTGCATGAAAAGTTCCACGCACAAAAGCACATTGCGCCCTACGACATGTATATTAACTTAACGTCCAATTATATCTTAACGTCCAATTCAAACACAATCAAACTTCGCGATACCAATTGTTACATTTCTGATGAATTAACTTCTCCTTTGTGAACCTCCCCATCAACACAATTGAATGATGAGTAACACCTGGATGCTTCAGAGTGTGTGAATGTTCAGGGCCTGAAATATGAACAAACTCTTGTGGGTCTTCAGCATTACACCCTTCATTTTTTGCAGGCACATCGTCTGGGAAATGGAACTGTGACAAAAAAGGATCACTAAAGAAAACAATATGTGCTTATAAAGGAAAAATGTTGGTACTTTCCTTATACTTACTCATTAGGCTCCTCTAAATCAATTGGGTTGTTAACTTCAACGTGTTCCTATTCTTCATATTGTTTCATAGATAGAACCAATAAAAGAATCATCTTTTGTATTAGATCTGCACGTGGGTGTACACAATAACAACTACATTCAACATCACATCCAACGAGAATACCTAAAAATATGATATTTTCATACTCCCTCTGTTTTAAAATAGATGAGCCAACTTTATACTAACTTACTAACTTTAGTAGCTTAAGCATGATTGTTGTACACTTCTGCTACCTCTCACAAAAATGGTGGAAAGTGCTGGCTTTGAAGCAGTTGGGTGAATGTCATAGAAGGATCGAACAAATTTCTTTCTAATATAGAACTTTCAGAGCAATACAAGATTTCGAACCAATGGATTAAGCCAGATTAAACTTGTATCGGCACCAATAAAGGCAGCAAGAGATTTGTGTTAACAACGTAAATACAAATTACTCACATGTTCGAACTCATCGCCCCGCCGAAATAAGGATCCATGTCGCAGCCGCCGCAAATTAGACCTCCCCAAGCCGCCAGACGTCAAGTTAGGTCACATCGACCCGTGCTGGGAAGCCGGTGATTTTGATATTTTATCGGGCCCATGTGCTATCGATACCGTATTGCTCCCTAGACAATTTTTTCTGTACACGTTGGCCGTCGAATACAACACGAATCTCGTTACTTCATCCTGCGAGAGCAACGTACCCGGTAAAAACCGGTTCCGCTATAATTTCATTTCTCCACGAGAGCGGCAGTGTGGGGCAAAATTTCGTGTTTTGACCCTTTTGTGAAAGTTAATCGAGATTTGACCTTAGTTTGTAAAATTTTTGAGATCTGATCCTTTTGCTACCGTCGGGATCCATGGCGGTAGGAAACAACCCTACCGCCAAACAGGCTGGCGGTAGGCTGTACAACCTTACTGCCAAGGTGCCCGGCGGCAGGCACGAGTACGCACTGTGTTTCATACTTAGGAAAAATTTACGGTAGGGTGTTAGGTTGTATGCTGTTATAACTTACCACCATGGGCCTTGGCGGTAAGAAAATGGCCAGATCCCGGAATTTTTGCAACCTAGGATCAAATCTCGATTAAATTTCACAAAAGCATCAAAACACGAAATTTAGCCGCGGTGTGGCACACCGTTGCCGGCAAACCAGATCCACCCTCACGCTCGCTCCCCTCCAACCGTCCACCAACCTCCTCCCCCCAATCATGCTCACACCACGACGCACCTTCGCACATCGCTCCACACCAGTCACCAGCAGCCAGCCATTTCCCCTGCTCCTGTGCTAGCTACTAGCTTTGTACTAAACCCTCGTCCCGTGCACGCCGTCACGCCGCTCGTGCGTCCCACCTGCACACCCCCAGCACGCCTGAGCGAGCGAGGGAGGGAGGGATGGACTGGTACGAGTGGCTGCGCAGGGCGGGGCTGGGCGAGGACCTGGCCGCCGAGTACGCGCTCCTGTTCGCGCGCAACGAGCTCGGCGCCGCCGACGTGCGCCACCTCGACCACGCCTTCCTCGCCACCATGGGCGTCGCCGTCGCCAAGCACCGCCTCGAGATCCTCAAGCTCGCCCGGAGGGAGTCCTCCGCCTCCGCCGCCATCACCGTCCTGCCGTGGCGCGCCACCAGGCTGCTCGCCGCCGCCGCGCAGCGGTCGGCCCGCTCCCTCGCCGGCTGCCTCCGCTCCGCCGCGCGCCGGGGCAGGTCCAAGGCCGCCGTCGCGCCGCGCCCGCTGGCGCTCTGCCACCAGGGCGTGGCGGGGCCGGCGCGGTGGAAGGGCGCGCCCACGGCCGCGGACGGCCGCGGGGTCACGAAGAGGAAGCTGGCGGCCCTCCTGGCTCGCGTGGGCAAGCCCATGCACACGCTCACCAACAGCGCCGGACGAAAGGGGACAAGGAACTCCGCGGCGCCGACGACGTACATGGCCACGGCGATCGCGGCGGGGTGCTTCACCAGCACGGAGACCTGCGGCAGCGACTACGACGCCGACGACGACGAGGACGAGGACGCCGAGACGGACGACGGCGGCGGCGAGGACCCGGAGACGCCGTGGGAGTCCATGTTCGAGGATCTGAAGCCCACCTAGGCGAGCCGCGCATGCGTGCGTCAGAAAAAGACACGTCCATCCATCCATCCAATCCATCAACGGCGCACCGGCCAGCCAGTGGCTCAGTGGTGGTCACTGCACTGCACTGCACTACTAACCGCTCGCCAGTGGCGCCGCTGCTACGTCTGTAAGACTGTGTATACTTCCGCGCCCTGTAAAATCTTGTGCCGTGTGTTTAATCCACCACTAACAGCGTTGCAATGCATATTTGAGCTCATTTTGTTTGATTTTGAGCATATTTGAGTAGAGTACTAGCATTTTGTTGTTTTTGCTTTAAATAGTGAGCAGTACTACATGGTATTGGATGTAGCACATTAATACAGTTATAAGTGTGGTTTTAAGTACGAGCAAGAGCATCTGCCAAGGACAACTGTATGAGTATAGGGCCAACAGTATTATTGATAGTGTGATCTACCCATGTTCACACGCAAAACAAGCCGGGGGGTGGCGACAAACGGAAAGTTCAGATCTGAGCAATTTGGCACTGTGTTGACTAGTGCATCGGTTATTGGTTGAGTGGACGAAAGGCACTGACAGTCTTTTCATCCATCGAGGCAGGCAACGCCTCGTGCTGCGCAGAGATAGATCTTACCGGCTTCGGTGAAGTTTTTTTAGCGAGAGAGATCTGCCGGCATCCGTGCCGCTTACTACGTGTCCTACTCTGAGTGTCTCTTGAAGTACAAAATAATCACAGTAAGGACTAAATGTAGGGAGGAGGGTTTGGAGCACGGACCAGGATCGTCTGATGTACTGCACCCCTGACGTTGGGCCACTGACATGTGGGCCCGGAGCCACCTGTCAGTGTGCCAACGACACATCAGGGGAGCCGCGTCCTTGGAGCACTCGGGTGGGCGATCTTTTTCTCTTCTTCCTATGGAAGGAGGACCCTTTGGCTAGGGTTTCTCATGCCTCCCGTCGGTGCCGCTGTTGGTCTACATCGTCTCATGTGGTTTTAGGTCATAGAAGGCG